TGAGACAGGGTCTTCCTAAAGCCCTAGCTGGCTTAGAACCCTATGTAGACCATGCTGTCCTCAATCTCACAGGGATCCACCTGTGTCTGCCTTCTGAGTGCTGAGATTAAAGGCATCATGTCTGTCTAGACACATAATTTTTAAAAATTAAAAAATAAAATAAAGATATGTAGTTGGAGCTGGGCAGGATGGTACGTGCCTATAATCCTGTCATTTAGGAGACAGAGGCAGGGGGATTGGGGAGTTCAAGGTCACCTCCAGCTACATGTTGAGATGGAGGCCAACTGGGGTATATGAAACTAAGAAAAAAAAGGTGCTGGTGATACAACTCAGTTTGTAGAGTACTTGCTTATATATGAGGTCCTAGATTTGATTCCTAGCACTGTAAACAAGATGTGGGGTGCATACCTGTAATCCCAGTACTCAGGATGTAGAAAAGCAGGAGGATCAGAAACTCAAGGCCCTTGGCTACATAAGGAATTCAGGGCTGTTCTGGGCTAGAGATTCTGTCCATATATATGGGGGGGGGGGTTGAAAGTCAGGGTGTTCTGGCATTCACTTGTAATCCTGACTACTTAGAAGGCTGTGGCAGGAGACTCTGCTTGAAAATCTTAAAAGTTGTGATTTAGGACATTTAAATATAATGTTTGTGATATCCTGCGGAGTTTGGAGGGGGAACTGGGATGACCACATTCTTTCTGTGTGCTCTTGCCTTAGGTCATGACCTTTTCCAGCAGCCCCCAATGACTCCTGTGGGGAGTGTCCAGCCATGGCCAGAGCCACCAGCCCCAGCCCCAGCACAGGCTCCAACGCTCCGCCAGGGCTGCTTCTACCTACTGGTGTTGGTGCCCATCACCTGTGCACTGCTGCAGCTCTTCACCTGGTCCCAGTTCACGCTGCATGGGAGACGCCTACGCATGATCAAGGCCCAGCGCCAGAACCTGACACAGATCCAAACACTGGACATTAAGATGGTATGAGAGGTGTGGCAGGGCCACTCTGCTGAGGTCACTGCCCTAGGTCTGGGCCTAGGGCACCTTCCTTGGGTGCAGCCTGGAGGACAGAAGGCAAATTGAGGGCTCCGGCGGTGGTGGTGGGGGGAGGGGGGGCTGAGCCAGGATGTCACTGAGGTCTCCCCCTCTTTAACTAGCTGACTCAGCTTGGGCAAGCGCTGGGCCATATATGCTCAGGGACCTGCTACTGCCATGGGGCAGGAGGAAAGAGGAGGACCAGAAAGGGTAAGGCTCAGTGTGATGTATAAGGGGCTGCCACGAGGCCTGGCCCACTTCCTGGCTGGGGCTGTCCTCTCTGATTGGCTCAGGAACCCTTTCTGATACTGTGCCTGCTTCCTTTTGCCCAGTCAGGAGAAGCTGGCTGTAAGTGCCATTTGCCTCCTCCTCCCACCCTTCTAGTAGTTTCTCTCAGAGGGCTCTCTGCTTCAGCTATGCTTGAAGCAGCCTATTCCCTCTGCTGTAGTGCTCCCCAAACCCCAGCAGGCCTCTGAACTCCATAAAGAAGCTCATTTCATTACAGATCAAGTAAAGCCAGTCATTCCTATTCTTCAGGTCTATGCCATTTGTGTGTGTGTGTGTGTGTGTGTGTGTGTGTGTGTGTGTGTAGCAGAGAGACAAATACCCCGAGAGCATTTTCCTAAATAGAATAGCACTGCAACTGCATCAGACTCATTGTGGTGCCAAGACAAGAATGCAGATGGTAAGCTGAACCTGGTGATCCATGCCTGTAATCCCACCGTTTGGAAGACTGAGGCAGGATCGCCTCAAGTTCAAAGCCATCCTGGGCCAGAGTGGCACCATGTCTCAAAAACAAACAATGACAACAAATACAGATAGACCACTGGCTGCTTGGGCCTGGAACCAGTTGCCTTAGTGCACTTCCCCCATATCACTACTGGACACAGTTGTCAAAGAACAGGCATTCTGAGCCCAGAGATCACAAGATGCTTCAGAAAATACTAGTGTTGATTCTCCAAGATTGTGACTGAGTGGGTCTAGACTGTGGTATAAACTTTGGAGTAATGAAAACCTCTCTGTACGTGATTTTATCTTGTAGCTGGATGATTGCATTGTGTTTAGCAGCACTGCTGGCTTCTACCTACCAGATTCCAGTTGCGATAACCAAACAGGTCTTCATATACTGTTCGATGCATCTTAGGAACAAAACTGACCCTAACTGGGACCTACTTCTCTAGGTCAATGGTTCTGAGAGTCTACATGGTGGATCAAAATGTAGGTTCCAGGGCTGTATTGTCTGGGCACATAATCTAGCTAATGGACAGCTGCTCAAATTATTTAAAAAATAAAACCAAAAACACCAGCCAGGTGTGATAGCACATGCCTTTAATCCCAGCACTTGGAAGGCAGAGGCAGGGAGATCTCTGTGAGATGGAGGCCATCCTGTTCTACTTAACTTAGCAAGTTCCAGGTCAGCTGGGGCTATAAGACCTGTCTCAAAAAACACAAAACAAAAACCTCCCCAAACTGTCTACCTTTTTGTAGTGCTAGAAGTTTTTCTGAAATGGATCAGAAAAATGTCTACATTTTATAGTTACTGAGATTAGTTAACAATTGCTAGGTACCTGGCTAGGTAGTTTTGTTTTTTCTGAGAGAGGGTCTTACTATGTAGCCCTGGCTGGCCTGGAACTTGCTATGATGAGACCAAGCTGACCTCAAACTTGTTTGAGACAGGATCTCCCTGTAGCCCCAGCTGGCCTGGAACTCACTGTGTAGACCAGGCTGGCCTTGAACTCACAGAGATCCACCTGCCTCTGCCTCCCTGAGTGCTGGGATTAAAGGCGTGTGCCAGCACACCCTGCTGGCAAGTGCCTTTATCTGCTGAGCCATGTTACTGACCCAAACCCCTCATGTTAATAAACTCCCAAATACCTTTTGTGTGTGGTATTGAGGATTGAATGCAGGACTTCATGAATGCCAGGCAAGTACTCTACTGCTGAATTGTAACCCCAGCCTTCTTTTTCAAAAAATTTATTTTATGAGTGTTTTGCCTGTGTATATGTAAGTGCACTATGTGTATGCGATGCCTGCAGAGGCCAGAAGAGGGCAAAAGATCCCCTGGAACTGGAGTTATGAATGACTGTTAACCAACGTGTGGGTGCTGGGAACCAAACCCCAGTCCTCTGGAAGAGCAGTCAGTGCTCTTAACCACTGAGTCATCTCTCCACCCCTACCCTTGATTTTGTATAAACATTAAATCCCCAAAGAAGGCCATTTGAGGTGGTGACTAGTAATCCTGTCACCGAGGAAGGGGGCGAGATTAGTGAACGGTCTCTGTTCTTATTATAACACAGTTATTAAATTGTAATTGTTTATAGCTATAATACAAATGCTATAAAGTCACCCTTATTTTAAAATTTATTATTTATTTGTTTTTAGTCTTTTTGAGACAGGGGCTCCCTGTAATCCTAGCTGACCTGGAACTTGCTATGAAGACCAGGCTGGCCTTGAAATCAGAGATCTGCCTGACTCTGCCTCCTGAGTGCTGGGATTAAAGGCGACTGCTCAACCATCTCTCCAGCCCCACCAACTTTCTTTTTATGACAGGGTCTCTCACTAAGTTGTGGAAGCTGGCCTTGAGCTCACTTTTAATCCAGGCAGTCCTTGAACTTATTACTTACAAACCTCCTGCCTCAGTTTCCTGAGTAGTTAGGATCACAGGCTTAGTCCAAGTAGTGTTTTACACACACTGAGTTTTAAGAGCCTCTGACTTGAAAGATGTCATGACATCCATCATTTGAAGTCAAGTTTCATCCTTGGATCTGCGTATGCACACAGGGTCAGACCCTTGGTTCTTGAACCTGGTCTTTGTCTTCAGACACCCAATAGATTAGGGTATGGTCTGCATCTCAGGTTCAGAGACTGTAGCTCCCCTTTCTTCCCACCAGAAACTGACCACAGAAGAGGCCCAGCTGATGTGTCTATTGGAACAACTTTATTTAAGTACACTGGGCCCCACCAGGCAACGTGGCTTGTGCGAGGCTGTGCAAGGGACAGCTTGGGCTAAGAGAAGGAAGGTGAGCTGGTTAAGCGCACTGTAGTCCAAGGGTCGCCACACTGTTTTCACACACACCAGCTTCAGCTTAACATCTGGCAGGGGCCTTTGGTCATAGGATGGTATGGGGAAAGAATACTGTCTGGAATCTGGGACTTGGTATCACAGGTGAGGATGCCAGTGAAGACAGGCTCACCCCAACTTTGTACCACCTAGGCCAAAGGCCCTTGGACCATTGCTAGGAGCCAGGCCTGAGCCCATTAGCTCTTGGCACTTTGGTCTGGCTCTTTCCCTCCATTCCCAAATAGGTTCAAAGTCAGAAGTGGCACATGATCAATCCAGAAGAGGCCTTCCTGCCACTTCAACTTAGTCCCCCGGTCAGCTAGAGTAGCAAAAGGCAACTTGGTTAACTGTAGCTTACTTCAGTTCTACGGGGACTCCAACACCCCTCCCTTGCAAGGAGCCTCTGCAGTCAAAAATGATGCTATTTCTTGTTTTTTAAAAAATCCAACCAACAATTAGCCTGTTGGTTCCAGGGCAGTGAGCAAATGGAGGTGGGGTTAAGGAAGAGGCTAGCTGGGGTGCCCTTGTGTGTAGCCTCCAATCCTGCAAGACCCTGAGGCCTATGAATACTGTCAGTTCACCACCACCAGCAAGGAGTGACAGGGCCCTGAATGCTATGCTAAGCCTAGTGCTGTAAACATTAGTGTAAGCAAGGTGACTGGTGGGCAGGAGGCAGTGAACCCTTGCTCTGCAGTCCCTTTATTGAACAAACACTTCAATAAATAAAACTGTTAAGATGGCATTGAAACAAGGTTGGATGAGAAGCAAATAACAGGACCTGGAGCCAACAGGTCCTTAAAGTCTCTCAAGACCCCCTGGATGTGGCTGGGGCTTGTAAAATTAACCCTGCAGCTATTTTCTGTCCTCCTCAAATGCCCAGTGTGGTCCTGGTCCCTAGGTAGACATGAGTGTACCCTGCTCTCTCCTGACCCCAGTCTATAGCCACTGCTGGAGTGCTTTCCTAGTCTCCCAAACCCAAACTGAAATAAAACCAGACAGAACTTAACCCCAGCCCCAGCCCCTCAGTCCAGAGGCATGGAAAGCAGAATGGTGAGCAAGGGGAGGCAGCAGCGCCCCGACCTCAGGGTACTGGGTAGGTTGGGTTGGGGTCAGCAAGGTCTCCCTGTGGTGGTAACTGTAGTTCCAAACAGCCAGCCAAAGGCCCAGCTGAGGAAGGAGTGGGCCTCTGCCAGAGCTCTTCCTGTCAGGGGCCAGTTAGTAGTCAACCCCAGGCCTCAGGCCATCACCATCGTGGGTAGTTCAATGTCCTTTCTGAGCCTGGGATTCCTGGGCCACATGGCACTCAGTATGCACACACACTCACTCACACATACAGGCAGTTCCCTGCAAACACTCCGACTCAAGAAAGCGAGTTTTAAAGTGGAGTTAACTTCAGAGAGAGGTGAAGATGATGTCTCAACATTAGAAGGTTTTCCTATGGATGGATCGGGCACCATCTTCTTCATATTCCTTCTTGGAGACCCACATCTTCTTAAAGGTATCCAGGGAAGCAAGGATGGAGCCTCTGGAGTGGAGAGGATCCAAAGGAGTAAGTGTGAGAGCCAGCCAATCCCCCTAGGCCTAAACTAGATGAGGCCTTTCCTTTAAGGGACAGGGTAGGGTGGGGGTCTAGTCAAAGCTTTTGCTTCTGTTCTTATTCTCCCATGAGCTACTTACCCAATCCATGTGGAATACAGTCTCTCCTGGGGTGCAGATATCTGCAGAGGGAGATGGAAAAAGGAATCTGAGACCTTCACACCCTACTTCTCTTTTTCCCTCTCTTTTGTGTTGTGTATGGTGTGTGCACGTTGCCATGTGTGTAGGAGCATGTGTGTGTGCATGGAGGCCCAAAGCTGCTATCTGGTATTTTCCTTGATCACCCTCTATTTACTGAGGCAGAGTCTCTTGTTGAATTGGAACTTGTCAATTCTGACTAGTAGCCAGCTTGCCCCAGGGACCTTGCCTCTGCTTCCTAAGTGCTGTAGCTATAGGTCACTGCCATGCCCACCTGGCTTTTATGTAGGCTCTGGAGATCTGAATTCTGGTCGTAATGCTTGCACAGCCAGGGCTTTATCCACTAAGCCATCTTCCCAGGCTCCCCCTAACCTCTTTCTCATTCTGTTTCACTACCAAGTGTGGTGAATACATGCCATGCAAAGGCTCCTGTTGGACCTGAGGCTTCTTGCAGGATGCTGTGGCCAGCCTGACACTAAGTAGGGAAATAGATCTGTAGTAGGAGCTGGATTTCTTCATTTGAGGCCCTTCCTCTGTACAGGAAGCAGACACTCAATTGGCAGTCTGTATTACAGGGGAGCCATGGGGGATGGGAGGAGTCAACAGTGAAATTAATCTGTCAATTTCAGTTTCCCTGTTTGACCAATATGGGGTCCTAGCCATGTACTCTACCACATTCAGGATTTGAAACTTTATTTATTTTTGTCTTTTTGAGACAGGTCTCCCTGTAGTCCCAGCTGACCTGAACTCACTATGTAGACCAGGCTGGCCCTGAACTTACAACTTACAAAGATCCGCCTGCCTCTGTCTTCCAAGTGCTGGGATTAAAGGTGTGTGCTACCACGCCTGGCTGAAACTTTATTTTTTTATACAGAGTCTCTATGAAGCCCAAATTAGTCTTGAACTCATGGCACTCCTGCCTCAGCTTCCCAGGTGCTGAGATTACAAGGAAGCATCACCACACCCAGCTACTGTCCCCCTTTGAGTGAAGAGTGAGAATGAGAACGGGTCCTCCTTTGGGCAAATCTAGACTGCAGGGCCACTGTGTATGCTAGGAGCCACCTGATGACATCTGTAGAGCTATGGCTGCCTGAAGGGCTTGGCGAGAACCAGAGGGAGGACATGCCATGTGTTCCAGGTCCTTGGGGCCCAGTCCCACCCAGCCCAGCATCCAGTATACTCCTACCCTGATCTTCACGTCTTTTGGAGCCAGTTTCTTCACCTCACTTAGTAGCCTGTCACCAAAACCTGAATGGGCAGAAAAACAGACTCGCAAATGAACTCTGTGCATCTGAGCCCTGCAGGATTAGGATGCTTCCTGAAGAAGGGTCCCATGAGCGAAGACCAACCTTTGAATAGGGTAGAGCCTCCTGAGAGGACAATGTTGGAAAAAAGTGTGCGCCGTAAGTCCATGTCAGACTTCTGGATAGCAAATACCAGGACCTCGTGGATACCCTCACTCTCTTCACCAATTAAGTCCGGCCTAAACAGCAGCTCAGGGGCCCGGAATCGGGAAGGGCCGATCTGTAAGGGTAAAGAGCTAGCTTAAGAGGCTGGGGCTGGGACAGATCCCCTGGGAGTGGGAAGAGTTTCCTCTGCCCATCTCATAGGAACCAGAAGGTTGTAAAGCCCAGGCTCAAGACAAACCTATGCCAAGGGCCTTAAGGAGCAAAGGTAGAGCTCCTGGGAATGAATAGGGAACAAACGGGGCTTCTGGGTAACTTCTGCTGGGGCTGGGACAGATCCCCCTGGGAGTAGGAAGAGGTTCCTCTGCCCATCTCTTAGGAACCAGGAGGTTATAAAGCCCAGGCTCAAGAAAAACCTATGCCAAGGGCCTTAAGAAGCAAAGGTAGAGCTCCTGGGAATGAATAGGGAACAAACAGGGCTTCTGGGTAACTAGAGAGGGGAAACACATTTACTACTAGCTCTGGCTTTTCCAGCTAAGAGATCTTTGGCATTAACACTCTTGGAAGCTGCTTCTTATCAATGGGAGTTCCAGGGGGCAACTCCCTGTACTGTGCCCCATGGGTGGTTTAAGACAGCATTAACTATCCCACTTCCCAAATAATCTTGACCTAGGGAAGTCCCTCTGGAGATCTCTTCCCCTCTGCACAGAAAGACACAGTTCCTACTTCTCTTCTGTACGACACAGGGCTGCTCTAGGTCCTCATAGGGCATTCTGCTTGGGCCCAGAGCTTAATGGTAGGTATGAGGGGGAAAAGGGAATGATGAGGTCACTACCTCAATGGTGCTGCCATCAGGCAAATAGTACTGAGCCTTCTCCGTCTCTAGTGTCTCATCCTTCTGGGGGTTTATGGATAGGTAGCAGGCTCTCTGCAGAATCAAGTATGACAGTTAGAATGACAGGAAACCTGGTACAAGCCCAGGCAAAGTCCCACAGGAGTGACATGCTGCTCCAGAAATCTCAACTGCAGTGACTGCCCAAAGGTCATAAAAGCTCTTGCTTAAGCAGGGGCAGAGGTCTGTTAGATTGCTCCGGTGGCACTTAAAATGTGAGTTCTTACTTGCTCCATCTTTCTGGTAGGCAAACCTGGGAACTGGCTCTCTAGTTCCTCGGTCTGAGACTATCTAAATTTAGCCAGGCTCAAACATCTTTCTCCCTCTATCCCTAATATAGTTTTGGGTCCCTAATAACCAGCTCAGAGTTTTCCCTAGAAGCAAATATGGGAAGAAGGTTTTAATTTACTTAAAAAAGTCATTTTGTCTTCTCCAGGGATTTGAACCTATATGATTTGTAGTAAGGAGAGGTATACCAGGTACCCACCCAGCTTAGGAAGTGGAAGCAGCTCCCTTTCCCCCCACAAGATGGCAACATTCAGGAGGGTGAATCTGTTGGTAGGAGAGGACACCTGGGACAAGCTGCCAGGAGCTCTGCTGTGGAGAACAGAACCTGACCCAGGATCCCATGTAGGAGCTTTATCCCTCTTCACTCCTAGGGTCACCATTCCTCATCCTGTCCCTGGGCCCACAGGACAGCACTTACTTCCTTTATAGCCTTGACAATCTCAAACTCGGAGGATGAGTGGAAATCATAGCCCTCCTTACGTAGGTAGAGGCGCAGGAATCGTGAGACATCTCGGCCAGCGATATCGATGCGCATGATAGAGTGAGGCATGGCGAAGCCTTCGTAAATGGGCACTGCATGGGTGACACCATCCCCAGAATCCAGCACCACACCTGTGGTTCTGCCTGTGGCATAACTGAAGCAAAGGAGACAAAACAAATCATCACTGAACCTGTCTCCCCATTTTGGAAAGAAACCTACTTGTTAAAGCTGAGCCAGCAGAACTAAACTTTTATCCTGGGCCTTTCTGATGGCTGAGCACTAGGAAAACTTTGAAAAGCTGAATAAAGAAGCTGAGCTTTTCCAGCCTACCCCACGGAAGAACAGCCTTCCAGTCTGAGGCTACAGAATGGGGAACCTGGCCTAAAGAGCAGTTTCAACTCCTTAACAAAAGGAGGAAAGGGAAATGATAAAGGAAAACAAGACTACTTTTCACCTTCATAAAGAATTAGGTTTTCCTCACATGGCCTTTGAAGTCTATCTTTCTTTAGTTTTCTATCTCCAAAAGATAGAAAGAGATAGGGGTTCAGATATGAGGGCAAAACCCTACTCTGCCTCAGTGTTTGGAGGTCAACATGGAATAGGGTAGGATCGGTGTGCATACCCCGATTTGCTATGCAGCTGCTCCATCTGAGGCTGGTTTTCATCCTATAGGAATGCAGTCCAGCAATATCTGATCTTCCCATTTTCCAGCGAGGCCAGAAATTTAGATTTGGATATGAAATCTCAAATTACTTTTATTTTATTTATTTTTGTGGTGCTGGGATCAAACCCCGGCCTTGTACATGCTAGGCAGTTGTCTGCCACTATGTTTCAGTCCCAGCCCATAAATCTTTAGATACTGGTTCACAACTTTTTAATGGGGTCAAATAAACCCACTGTGCAGGTCAGTATACCATCTCAGCAGCAGAGAGAGGTAGGCATGAGGCAGGGTGGGGAGCATGACAGAAATGAGAGGATGTCAGAACAGGTCCTATGGAAGCTATTTGGATCATGGATATATCACCAGCCTAGCAGAACATCTGGTACCCACAGAAGACACTGAATATTGGAACACATTAAGGGGCTTGCAGGAAAGGCCATGGCAGCATGTGGTCCTAGACCTGGACACCAAACCTCCTGATAGTACCAGGGCTGGGATGCAGCCTCAGTACCAGCTACATATTCCCTTTTGGTTTCATCTGAGAACCTTCAGTGTCTAGTTTCAGTAAAAGTCTCTCTTATCCCTATCTTTAGCTCTTCCTTGCTGAGGGGAGGGTATGGGGCTCAAGTTACTCTGAAACAACCTAAAGGAGGGGCACTTTTGACTGTGCCCAAGAACTGCTTTCCCTACAAGAGGCCACGCTAGCCAGACAGGCTGCTACTCACAGGCTAAGCACAGCTTGCATGGAGATGAAAAGAGCTGGTACGTTGAAGGTCTCGAAGAAAACTTCCGCAGCTCTCTCCCTGTTTTTCCGAGGGTTTAAAGGTGCTTCAGTCAAGAGCACAGGATGCTGGGGAAAGGGGCCCAGGAAGCAGGCAGGTGAGGCCAGGTTTTTCACATTCACGGCCCTGCCTTGATAGTTTGCTAGTCCAGGGAGCCTTTGTTAGATTCCCTTCAAGCCCTGCCCAAGTCAGTTTTCCTCCCTCCCTCCCTCTCTCCCTCCCTCCCTCCCTCTCCTCCCTCTCCTTCCTTCCTTCCTTCCTTCCTTCCTTCCTTCCTCCCTCCCTCCCTCCCTCTCTCTCGCTGTCTTTCTTTTTTGATCCTTCTACTGAAAAATGAACTTAGGTCCTTTGCATGTTAAACAGCAGTCTTTACAAACTCCTTTGAGGGTCATATGTCTCTGTAGCAGCACTAATTAGACTTAGTAATATAAAACGACACAAAGTTATTCTTTCTTTCTTTCTTTCTTTCTTTCTTTCTTTCTTTCTTTCTTTCTTTCTTTCTTTCTTTCTTTCTTTCTTTCTTTCTTTCTTTCTTTCCACATTCATGTCTTAAAGTCCCATTCTGTCCTCATCCCCACTCTCTGATTCCACCTCTGTGTCCTCTAAGATTCCCTGTATCCATTGTGTATCCCCTACTTGTCAAGAAGATTTTGTTAAACTCTGAGTTACTAGGATACTTCAAATACTTTTCAAAATAGAAAATTACAATTTAATACTGAGTATTTAAAAAAATATTTTATTTTTATGTGTTTTGCCTGAATTCCTGATCCTCCCATCTCTACCCCAAGTGCTAGGATTACAGGTGTGTAAGACTGCTTTCTTAATTTTTCCTCTGTTTGTAAAAGGGAGATAATTCTTCCTAGATCTTTTGGGTTTGTTTTTTGAGATAGAGTCTTCCTAAGTAGCCCTAGGGTGGCCTCAAAGTCACAGCAGTCCTCCTGCCTCTGCCTCCAAAGTATTAGCATTATAGGCATATGCCATGACACTCAAATTCAATTCTAATGTATTAACAGGAATAATATGAAAATAACATTTGAATAGGTCTAGAAAGCACACAGCCTAGGGCCTGATATGTAGTTAGATTCAAGTATCTTGGCAGTTATCACTGTCATCCTCCTCATCTCTGGGTAGAGTTCCACCCAGCTTTGCATCCTGCCCAGGGGTGTCCAGCACATGTCTCTCACCTCCTCTGAGAAAGTCTGCAGTTGGTCCTTAGAATAGACATATTGCCAGATGCGCTCCATGTCATTCCAGTCCTTGACGATGCCATGCTCCATGGGATAGCGGATGGACAGCAACCCTCGGTGCTCCTGTAAGCAGAAGGCAAAAGCTGTAGCAGCAGTCAGGCTATGCCTGGCATCCTGCTTTTCCAGGCCCAAGCTATATAGACAGAATCACTTCCAAAGGAGCCTCAGCTTCCTAATGTCCCAACCTGTAGTCCTCATCCATACTGATGATGTGTACTAGTTCTCTAAGTCCTGAGCATGCTGCAAACTGCTCTTGCTGCCCAAACAGCTGCAAAGCAGAGGTTCCTGCTCACTGCCAAATTCTAGGACATAATCTCCTGGCTCCTGCCTCTGCCTACAGCTCCTAGAGTCAAAGTTGGCAACAATGACTCTGAAGTTTTACTTCCTAGAGGCTGCCTGAGGGCTCTGCTTGAACTGGGGTAATTAGCTCATATCTAGGGAATGCCAGTCTGGAACTTCTCACCAGATCCCTTTGGCCAAAAATATAACTAAGCCCTGAATTTGATCACTGGTAAGACAATGACAGGATACAAAAGGAAGGCCAAAGTCTTGTTTTCTAGACTGGCCTGCTTCCCAAAGTGGAGCTCCAGGTATTTCTTCTCCAAGGCTTGAGTCTGCTCTTAGAAGAAATAAACCAGCCTGGCCTAGGATGAGGATCAAGAGGAACTTAGGAGAAAAATACCCCCTTCACTCATTGCTGTGTCAAACTCCAAGAACACTCCATGTGTGAGTAAGGTAAGTGCTCTGCTGGCTTGAGGCTGCATCTGGTGATGGGGAATTACCTCAGCTTTGGGGCCAATGAAGATGTCACCCTCAAGGGCTCCTGCCATTACACGAACATGTTTGGGTCTGCCCACACTAGAAAAGACAGCAGAGAGGGACATCATTTTTCATTTCATGACAGACACAGGGAGGACATATGTACAGATGTACCCTGATTCTACTGTGTTCATCTCTGAGGAATGAAGATACAGTTAATTTTTATTTCCTTTTTTATGTTTCTGTATTTTCTGCAATTTCTATAAAGAACATGCGTTATTGGGTCTGGAGAGGTGGCTCAGAAGTTAAGAGTACATACTGCTCTTTCAGAGAACCTGAGTTCAATTCCCAGCACTTGTATCAGCAAGCTGACAACTGCCAGTTCCAGGAGATCCAATGCCTCTGGCTTCTATAGGCACCTGCACTCGTGTGCACACATATACATAATTAAAAATAATAAAAATCAATCTTAACAAAAAGAATATGTAGGGCCAGAGAGATAGCTCAGTGGTTAAGAGCACTGGCTCCTCTTCCAGAGGACCCAGGTTCAGCTCCCAGCATCCACCCACGTGGTAGCTGATGACAGACCATAACTCCAGTTCCAGGGGCTTTGATGCCCTCTTCTGGCCTCTGTGGGCATTTCATATACAGGTAAACTTACATGCAGGCAAAACACTCATACACGTAAAATAAAAATTAAAAAAAGAACATGCATTATTTGAAGTTATTTGTATATTATTTCTTTTTTTTTTTTTTTTTTTTTTTTTTTGAGACAGGGTCTCCCTATAGCCCGAGCTGTCCTGGTCACTATGTAGACCAGGCTGGCCTTGAACTCAGAGAGATCCGCCTGCCTCTGCCTCCCAAGTGCTGGGACTATAGGCGTGCCCCACCACGCCTGGCTTATTATTTCATATTTTATTATATTATTTTATAAACAAATTTTAGAAGGTTCAATACCTCTAGTTCTTTTATCTTTCCACTCTGTATACAGACCAAGATAAAAAGGAATTTCTAAGCTAAGTGTGGTAACATAATCCCTGCACTTGAGAAGCAGAGGTACACCAATCTCTCTGAGTTTGAGGCCAGCCTGGTCTACATAAGAGTTCCAGGCTATCCAGGGCTACAGGGAGACCTTGTCTCAAAAAGACGAAAAATAGCTGGGTGTAGTGGTGCACGCCTTTAGTCCCAGCACTCAGGAGGTAGAGGCAGGTGGATCTCTGTGAGTTCAAGGCCAGCCTGGTCTACATAGTGAGTTCCAGGCCAGCTGGGGCTACAGGGAGACCCTGTCCCAAAAAGACCCGAAAAAAAAAAATAAATAAAAGCTGGGCATAGTGCTGCACGCCTTTAGTCCCAGCACTCAGGAGGCAGAAGCAGGTGGATCTCTGTGAGATCCAGACCAGTGGTGGCTACAGGGAGACCCTGTCTCAAGAAGATGGAAAAAAAAAAAAGGGGGGCTAGAAAGATGGCCAGCGGTTAAGAGCTCTGCGTATTCTTGCAGAGGGCCCAGGTTTGGTTCCCAGCATCCACATGGTGGCTAACAACTGTCCATAGCTCCAGTTCCAGGAGATCTAATGCCTTCCTTCTTCTGACCTCTGTGGGCACTGCACCACATGGGTGCACCAACCTATATGCAAGCAATACATTCATACACATAAAATAAAAATAATAAATAAGGTAGGGCATGGTGGCACAAGCCTTTAATCCCAGCACTTGGGAGGCACAGGCAGGCAGGCGGATCTCTGTGAGTTCAAGGCCAGCCTGGTCTACATAGTGAGTTCTAGGCCAGCTGGCGTTACAGGGAGACCTTGAATTAAAAAAAAAAAAAAAAAAAAAAAGGCTGGGGGGGGGGCCCGGGGGTAAAA